TGATTTTGCCGATTTAGAAACGCTGAAAACTAACTTAAAAAACAAAGACAAAGAAAAAGTGGTCGGAGCAGTCGTGACGGCAGCCGACCTCACCGGCGCCATCAAATCAAGGAGAAATCAGAAGAAATCAGAAGATGGTACACTGTGGTCATAAAGGGATGTACATGGTTAGCAACAATACTGACCATGTGAATACTGACTGTGGTGTTTGAACAATGCTCCCGTGGTACTAAAGACCGCAAAGTGTGCTGAGAAAATATCCTCCACACCATTACACCACCAGAAGCCTGAACCGTTGATACCAACGAGGATGGATCCACGCTTTCATGTTGTTTACATGACCCTACCAACCAAATTTAGATAAGCATGTCTGGCACCAACAACCGTGTTCAAAGTCACTTAAATGATCTTTCTTCTTCATTCTGATGCTCAGAAGTTCAGCAAGTCATCGTGTCTAAATCACTAAATGCAGTTTTTTGCTGCCATCTAATTACCTGGTTAGAAATTTACATCAACAAATGGTGGAGTAGTTGTACCTAATATATCACTGAGTGTATATCTGACATTAGTAGATTTTTTTTAGGTTTAATTTTAATATGCACAATGAGATTACATGTAATTAAATGTGCTATATAAATACAATTGCTAGCAGCATGAGTTAAAAAAAGAAAATCAACTCAACAGAAAATGACAAAAAGACGTTGTAATGGCACTGCCTCATCCAGGACCTTCATCACAGGATGTTTTCTTGTTATAAGACAAAATGTAATTATGTGTCATATCGCACACACACATATATGGTATACTTACAAGCCTTTGTTAATCTCAGTACTGCTAACATGGCGTCCCAGCTCGGTCTAATTGAATTTCACAGAGGCAAAACCATCTGGCCACTGACAGCAGAGCAAGGAAGGCGTGTGCATGTGGCAACCCTGCGGTCAAGGTTACGTTCGGTACCATCATCATTATCATCATTAACAACCAGACCACAGTAACTCAGCAGACCCCCAACTGGCCTCCGTACACATCAACTCAGTGTGACGTTTCCCAAAGTGGATAAAGGCTGTTTAACGAGTGAAATTTTGTTCTGGCTGTTTTGTTGGAGCTCACAGGCGGTAAAGGTGAACCGCACCGAATGAGCAGGATGAGGATTTGGCGTGTAACTTAGCCAGGAGGTGCTTAGTGGGAGGATAAAGTGATGTCTCAACAAGGAATCGGCTGTTTGCCATGAGATTTTGTGAAGATATTCATGATCCCCAGAGAGCATTTCCCCGTAATACAAGCAGTCTTCTAACATTCATTCTATTGTTCACATCAGGTCCAACGAATCCCTTTATCAAAGGTTTGTTCAGTTACAAGTGACTAGTACCGATAACAGAAGACTTCTAGTTCCAAAATAATCCATCCAATGTTTTTACTTCTTTGGCTGCACAACCTTAACACCCGACGCTATCACCCTTAGTCTGCTGTTTTTACTTTTTCATTCCTCTCTTACTTACACTCTAAAGCATTTACATGCCTTGTAATAATAACATGTCATTATGGGTTTTTCTAAAGCATTGTTTAAAATAAAGGCCTATGAAAATTCAAGTGAAGGGAGAGAGGAAAACCTGCAGTTTTGTTATCTGTCCTCATCTTTAAGCTTGATCTGTAAAGACTTTGGGACTGAGTGCTTACTTTTCATTGTGTCCAGGTATGTGCGATACTTCAACGGCCTTCTGTCAGGACACATAAAAATCAACAACAAGCCTCTGTTCCTGCATCACGTCATCATGCACGGCATACCTAACTTTGAGTCCAAAGGAGGTGAGCATCTACCAGTAAAGCGTTATACAAATACAGGCCATTTACCATTTACCACTGGCAGATTTTTTTAAATGAAAATTTTAAAAAACTAGAAAAAACTGTTTTTCTTGAACACATTTCAGATTTCTTATTTATATCACTTCACAGGTTGCCGTCCTTTCCTGAAAATCTACCAGGCAATGCAACCAGTCTACACGTCAGGAATATAGTATGGGAATTTTTATTCTAGTTCAGCGTGGTTTGTGTTTGAATTCAGGCATAAAATGAACCTGTGAGGTGAAAAGGAATTTTATTTTAAAGGTTAGTATTTTGTCTTTTTAACTGTAGCAATGTGCAAGGGGACAGCAACACCAGTATCTGTATCACCATTGAACCTGGACTGCTTCTTAAGGGAGACATCCTGGTAAGATAACAAAAAAATTTTCTTTACTTAAACAACAGTTGCCTTCCATTTACCTTTTTTTCTTTACATTTTCCTAATATTATATAGAGTCTCATGATGTTTCTCCATTTTTTTCTCTATTATCTGTTAAACGTAGCTCAAGTGTTACCACAAGAGATACAGAAGCCCAACCAGAGACGTTGTGTTCAGGGTGCAGTTCCATACTTGTGCCATCCATGATCTTGGGGTGGTTTTTGGGAAGAGTGAGCTGGACGAGACCTTCAAAGGTAATTTTAATTTGCTTGGATTTACACAACACACTGTTTGACACTTAAAAACATACAGTTGTATAGAGTTTTTGTGAATCAAGGTTATGTATCTCAAAAAGGGTTATTTTTTTAAAAATACACAAGATTAGCACTGATATGACAAAAGCTTTATGACTTGTGTATTTATACACAAAAGACTGGTGGTGTTCACTGTCCTAGTGTTGACCTAGACTCATCAAAATGTTACCTCAAGACTGTATAATGGCTTCAGTGTCTGACGCTCTTCTATCTGCTGCTTGGATCTCTGGTTTGCAGCATGGAAAAATTCATGGGTCCTGATGCAGGAGGACAGTGTTCCCCACAGTTTCACAGTAAACAGGGTCCTCTGGTGGTGAAGCAGAAAAGCATTCACTTACAGTAACACTGTGATTATGGTGATACGCAACCAGAGATTTCTTATTAAAGGAAGATCAAATTCACACTAAATTTGCACAATTGATTTGAATTTGGATAAGTAATTTAAATTCATACACAAAAACTGTAAAATAATAAACCCTAAGTATGATAAATTGTAACCGTGCCTTTGTTTGATGTGAAACCCACACATGCGTTCATGGTTTTAATTTCTCGTTGTATGTGTCTGCAGATGAGAGGTTTCCAGAGTACGGGAAGGTGGAGTTCGTGTTCTCATACGGACCGGAGAAAATCAAAGGTAATCCATTTTTGGAAAGGAGAAATTGATTGTTAGCATCACATGTTTTTTTCAACATTTAGAACTGAGATCTGATGTATTAGCCGCTGCAAGTTTTTTTATTTTTATTTTCAAAATTTAAAAAAAGAATTTTCTTAAAATGTATTATTTTAATTGAAGCTCTCGGAGAATACCAGGGGTTGATAAGTGTGCATGTATACAGGAATTTATTAGACCACCTGTTATAAAAATAAAACAGGAAAATGGATGTATGTAAACTAACTAAGTATATAGTTATTTATTAGGTAAATAAGATACTGAATGCACGTTATCACCCCCAAATCTGAGCCGGCACACTGGACTTCTCTGAGAAGAATTCAGAAATGAGTCAAGCAAAACATCCAATCACCTAAACACTTGTTTTTGTTCAGGTAAAGTAAAAGTAAAGCAAATAAAAAACAAAAAAACAAAAACAGTGATATCAGCTCTTAATCAAAAAACAATAGTGTGCTTTACTTTTTTTCTGCTGTTTTGTTAAACAGCAAATTTGAAAGTTAGAAAGAAGAAAAGAACAATATTTTTGTGCACAAATGTTTAACCATTACAGATATGTAAGAAACGGTTTTTGTAATTACCAATATTGTTAATTTAGGGCAGCTGCGGCCTTACATTGGGTGGTGGTTTAAATGTGTGTCAGTGTGTTAAAATATGATACTTCTTTCTTTTTTCATTTTTAAAAAAATTGTTTATAAAGGAAATATTTACATTAATAAACTTGATGCGAAAGCATAATGTACGTTAATGTAAATGCATCAGAGTCAACCAAAGAGTCCCTTGAGAGTAAAAGTCATGAGAAATGTGTTAGCATAAAAAATAAAATAGCAAAAAGAAAACATAGTGATAACAGAAGATTTATCCCAAACAAATCAATGTTGTGTTTGAAAAACACTGTTTAACAATAAAACAACATTTGTTATTTAAGCGTAATGAATTTTATACACAAATACCTTAATATAAAAATGCTGATTAATCAAAAGTGGTTTTCCCAATAACAGAGTGTAAGTCAATATAGCCACAAACCACTGACAGAGGAACTCCATTTCAAATGTACAGACTAATAGAAGATAACTTATTATTAAATGTTTTAGGCCATTCCAACCTCAAATATTGTCGCTGTATATAAACGTTCTAATATGACAGTGCCCTGTATGATGATGTTACTTGTGTGAACCACAGGCCTGAGTCACTTGGAGAATGGGCCGAGTGTTTCAGTGGACTACAACACCCAGGACCCTCTGATCCGCTGGGACTCATATGAGAGTTTCAGCCATCGCTGTGAGGAAGCTGCAGATGCTGACCACGGTATGCAAATGGCATACAGTGACTATTTTGGAGAGGCGAAATTCTAAATAGGGAAAAATGTCAACCAGGTAACCTGACTTTTCTGAATGAACCACCTGGATAGGAGATTAACGCTTTTTGTACACACAGGAATATACAAATATGAAGAAGACTGAAACAGAAACAGAAACAAAATCATATATATAGTTTGTAATGATAATAATAATACATATAAGTACCAACCTATCTTTCACAGATAAATCAAGTTCCTCGCCCTTATCAGATCAAGATCTAGAGCCTTGACCAAAGGGAAGGATTTCCTGTAAAGCCCTACACCCTCCTCCTCCTGCTACTCTCTCAGCTTGTCAGTTAGGACTTTAAATAGCTGCTGAAGAAATAGGGGGCGTCAGTCACCCTGTTACTGGCTGCTCCCTCCCTGAGGGGGGTGTAACTTAAAACACCACCGGGCCTAACTCCCGCAAGTCCCCCTATTCATTTCTATCCACTCTGAGCTATTGCTTCTGTGCCAGGAGTCCAGAACTTAAAATGCGGGCACTCCATAAAATGCTAAACACCCATTATAGAAGCTGTGTTTGTTTTTTTTATCTAAAGTATTTTTACTTCAGAGCCCTGATTTTTGAAATATGGCACAAAGAAAGGAATGTTTGCTTGTCTGATTGTCAGCCATGTAATGCAAAAGTACGCATGTCCTCGTAGCTTATGTTGTAGCTTTCTCCCGGATATGCTACAAACCTGCTTTACATAGCGTTTGCCTTTTGTTAATGTTTATATATCCAGTGTGCAAATGAACAACTGGAGAAGTGGAATCACTAACACATCATCATCATCATCACTGCTTCTGCAGTTCCTAAAATGTATTTTTGGCTACTTACAATAGCTGCCAGTCTGGCACGGTCCCTTGGATCCTCTCAGTAATGATGAGATTCATGATTACTGCTGTTAATCAAAGAAATCTGCACAAACAGGAGGATGTACTCACCCTTGGTTGAGTCAGGACTTGGCAGTCTTTGTAGTGCTGCGTCCACTTTTATATATGGGATTTTTTTCTTCCAGCTTTGCAAAGACCCATTTCATTTTTATGAACATCCCCAGAGAACCGTTGCAGTAATTGCTGTGCTGCAGGAAGGTCAGTGGGAATCGCCAGGATTGCAAGTTTGAGCCTAATTGAATGGGCAGCGGTGCTCGCAGCACTCAGCAGAAAAAAATAACGAAAAACTCCCAGCCAGTGTATTCATCTCTCTAATTGCAGGCTTCGCTCTTACACTTGGATGCGGGCGTGTGGATGCTGAGTCGAGACTTGCGCAGGAATATGGTGTCTGTATTCGCAAGGTTTGGATCGACAGAGGATGCTCTGTACCTTAGTTGTTTTGGAAGACACAAAACTGAAAATGCAAGATTCAAAGAATTGGTTAACACAAGACTGGTGAACAATCTTTTTTTTGGCGTTTGATAAAATATAACCACCTCTGTGAAAAAAGGTTAATCACGTGTACAATGTACATTTGAGTTGGCAAGCCCACACAAACTCCAAACTCTTATAAGCTCTATGACAGAATGGCCTATTTTTAACTGCTCCAGCTCAGTGGACAATGATCACTCGTCGGGTCTCATTTAAATAATTGAACAAATGCTTCATCCTCAGGTGTTGATGTCTGAATACTTTTGAGGTTTGGCGAGCTCTTCCTGACGCCATTTTTAACAGAGTCCACTGACCTTGGAAATCCAGTTGAGAGAACTCGGTGAAAGACGGGCATCTTAAAAAGGTCTGAAGGATTTGGTAGCTTAGAGATGTGTGTGGTTCATACTGACGCACAGGCACATGGACAAAAAAAAGGAGAGGAGTCTGGTATGTGCCCGGCTGTTTGTATTATACAGTGTTTTTTGCTCTATATGGGCATGCAAGCTGGTCTGTGTGCTTGTAAATATTTGCATGTTAGTGTAGCTCTGTTGCAGTTTTTCATGAGGTATGCAGGAGTGCATGTTTATGTAGTGCACCTTGTGTTTGTCGGCTTCCCTTTGCTCCACTAGAAGCCCTGTGGTCTGGAGGCAGCTGTTGGCCCAGAGGTCAAATCAGTAAAAAGGCAACCATTTGGCCCAATGGGTGGCCGTAGAGATTTGTACCTCAGCTCGGCTGCTAACCCCTTAAGAAGACAACATTTTCCAAGGATCCACTAATAATCCTAGCTCCGAACCTCTAACTGGTCTGGTCTTGTCATCACTAATGGCCTGGCTAAAAAGCCAAGGTACACGCTATTGTAGCAGAATTGAGGGATTTCATGACAGGTGGGGGGTAGAAGACCTGAGCCATCACTCATTTCTTTACATTTGGCTCGCAGGGAGTCAGATTTTTCTTGTAATTTTTTTAACATTGTCTTGAGCAACAGCTGTCCAACTTTCTGAAGGTTTTTCCATGTTTTTCTTTGAACATTGGCTGTTTTTTCACTCATTTTCAGTCCAATCCTTGTACGTGAACATTTTCCGGGTTGTTTTTTAATGTATATAATTATTAAGAAACTTAACACTGACCTATGAGTTTTTAATAATTAACAAAAAAATATTGTTTAAATTGTATTGCATTTTAAATTGTGAAAACTTGGTGTATCTTGGCATTTTGCGCAGTGGCTGGCCAAAAAAATACCTACAGCAAATGAACAGTATCTGAAAGTCATGTCCTTAAGAAATCAGAAAAAAATCCATCAAAGGTCTTCAGCTGATCCATCTACTGTTCACTAAAGCGGCTGTCAGGAAGCTATTCTTAGTGAAGGGAAACGGGGAGAAAAGACTGAGGTATGAAAATTACACAAAAACTTGTCTGATGGAGTGTTGAAGCCAAATCATCATCAGTATGTATGTTGAAGGTCAGGAAAGAGGTATAACGCTGTCTACAGCCATCTGGGAAACACAGTGGAGGCTCTGTCATGGTTTGGGATACATTCCTAAATCATTCTTAAAAGTGATGAATTACAAACACATAACAGAACCACCAGAGTTTGATCCAACATGCAATACCAACTGGAAAACATTTTATTTAAAAATGAACACTGTGAATCATGGATTGGCCTCTCCACCTTAACATTGCTGAAGCAGTTTGAGATCATCTTGACAGATAAACATACTATATTTACGTGTATGTTTAAACATTTTAATAAATCACTGTGCCTATACTGCATTTTCCTACCAAAATACAAAGGAATGAAGGATGACCCCAGACTTTTGCAGTAAAGGACATAATATGTTTGATTTAGGCATAATTAGTCTCTATCAGTATCAAAGCACTGATACAAATATCAAATATATTTGGACCCCTTTCGCTATATTTTATGAAGTCTAATGAATTAACACCATCATTTGGTGCTGGATACATTTGTGTTTTGTAATTCAGTCCTTAAGAGTTTGCAGTAACATTTAGAGGTGCTTCCTCACCTTCATCAGGTTTTCCATAAGTTTCTAAAGAATCATAAGAGCATTACATAAAATGATTGTTAGATAACTCATCTATAAAGAATGAAAACAGCCTCTAAAAACAACCTTGCCACTGGAGAGTGTGTCTGTGTGTGTTTCTGTGTCTGTGTGGTGTACAGTAGGGCAGCATGCCCACTGACAGCGCAGGCCGCCTTCCTCGTTCGCCGGCCTCCTCCCATATTTGGCTGGGGCTGAGCCCTGAAACATGTCTGGAATAGCTGGATAGAGACCGACAGAGAGACAGAGACAGAGAGGCTGAGAGAAGCAAAGACGTTTTACATTTGAGGTGTAATACAAGTGAGGATTTGATTTGAGACTGTGAGGTCTGAGCGCATTGGGAAAAGAAAAAAAATTAGTGACAGAATTAGGAATGACATAAAGTCAAGGACAGAAGAAGAGCAGCTGGAAAGCACTGACTGGTGAGTGGTTCCGTGTAGTCTTTCAATTACAACTAGCAACTTTCTTAACTTTAAATCTCTGTCAATCTCAAGTAATTGTGCAGTTGCCCTAGTCAGATGTTTTCAAGTTGTATATTTTTTTTATTATATTGTTGCTATGTTTTTCTCTGGATAAACTCTTTTTTTATGGTATTTCATTTTATATATACATCACTTTGCTTTTAGACTAGCATCTCCTTGCACTGTTGCCCAGAAAAAATTACAAGAGTACACATTTCTGTCTATTCGGTCTATAGTCGAGTCTGTTTGTCTGTTTATTAGGTTTCCATGTCAACAGTGTTGCTTCCTGTGTGTTTGGCACCTATGTGGTATAAAATGACTCATGGAGCGAGCAATTTGTGTGCGGAACATTTTATGAGCGGGCTGCAATTTGGGTACACCAAAACTATTAGGGACCTCGGTTGGCTGGTAACGTCGTGTGAGCTGCAGAAAGCTTGGACTGTGACACAGTTCATGTAGGAATGAATTTCTTTTTAAAGCGATGTTTGAACAATCGTAACTTTTGTAGAGAGTTGAAAATTTTGCCACATGAGATGATACAAAATTATACAAAATTATATTCCAAGATCTGTTTAAAAACTGTTACGCGAGATTAAACTGTTGAGTCTGACTTACCTTCAGTTGCTCAGCAGATACTCATTGACAGATGATCCCTAATTAGACTCGACTTAATCATTCTCTCTCTGCTTGAGCGGGCAGCGGTGTGTCTGAAGCACACAGGCCGACACCAAACAGCTGTTCTGACTTGGACAAACACAGTGTGTGGTACTGCAGGCTAATAGTAACCTCCCTGCCTGTTATCCTAACGGAAACCCAGCTTCTGCATTCTGTGTCGCTCCAGTGACAGACAGACACTGGTGGTGGTGTTTTTTTTCCTCAGTCATTGCCATTTTTTATCATTAAAAAGCCTAATTACAAAAAATTAAGCTATATAATTGAATTGAGAACATTTACTGACAGATCTACTGTACACATTAAACGTTTGCATAGATAAAACCCTGAGACATGGAGCGCAGTGGGGTATTTTAAAAGCAGCCTGCATGTGTGTGCCTCGCATGACCGCATAATGCTTCTAGTTAG